AGTATATTACACAATAACAGCAATAGCAGAAGAGAAATAACGCTGAACAATGAAGTTGAGCAAAGCGAACAGAACAGAGAGAAAGAATTTTTCAATATAGTTGATTTTAGATTACATCCCATGTTGTGGAAACCGCTCGAAAACCGTCAGTTAACCGCGGTTATTTCAGCTGAAATCATAGCAGTACAGCATAAAAACCGACGGTTAAGCGCCAGTTAACCGGAAATAACCGCCGTTAATCGTCGGTTTTTAAAATAACCGCGATTAACCAACGGTTTTCTTGAAAAATAGACGACATGGGAAGCAATAGTGAGAAAGATTATAAAGATCGAAGAAAGTGATCTGCATCGCGAGCTAATTGCTGCTTAAACATAAGCTATCAACCACAATTTTGGTGAAATCGTGTTATTTCATCTATGAAATTCCACCCAAGCGTCAAAAAAAAATCTAGTATCGCCCGATTCATCGCGATTATTAGATTTTTTCTAGTTGCAACTATCGATTTATCGCCCGATAATCGATCGATTTAACTATTACTAGATGCACCTGCAGACGCATCTAGTTAAAAGTCCCTTTTCCAACTAGTAATCTAGATGGCAACTAGTCGTGTATCGCCCGATTACAGACGAAATGTATCTAGATTTTTCCCATAGGTGATATTTGCTTGGGCAGACACTTTCAAATAACTCCTTATTTTATTGATTTCAAGGTGTAAAATTGAATCATGTCTCAACCAAATGTGTTCCAACTTAACAGAACTTGTATCGAGTATCTTCTGAAGAGTGTCTTCAATCCTCTTACGGTCCTTCGAATACTTAGTACAATCGAGAAGAAAATGTTTTAGAGTTTCTTTTGTCCACCGCATGCGCAATAAGGAGATGCCTCTAAATTACGCTTGTAAAGACGTCCTTGACGCCTTTCTGTAACAAAACAAGCGGTTGTAAAACATAACTTTTCACCCATAATCAAAGCATGTCTCAAGGTAAAATTCAAGCGATACTAGGGTAGCTTCCCTCGTAAGTGCTTATCTTCTTTTGGCTGAGTTTGGCCAAACGTTTGGTACATATGATGAGCGTTTTGAGTAGTCAGCTGGTATGTTCTGAGTAAACTAGCACTCCCGACTAGCTCGGTCTTACTCGGACATAGCTATTGCCGAACCAAGTCCTTACTCAAGGAGGGAGGGATTAGGGAATTATTCCGTCCTGCAAAGAAAAATCTCAGATTTGCGGAGTGAAAAGATATTTTTCAGTATCTCTCTTCCCTTCGAAATCTTTCTGGCTACGGGTTTGCCGCCGACTATTGTAATATTCATATGTAGTAAAATTCTTAACCTCGAGTGATCAACGATTTCTCAATAGGCTAGGAAGAGAACTCTAACATTTGAAAATATCTATAGTGTTTGTATAATACATAGATGTGCAAAACAAACACCTAGGGGAGTGATCGTACAATACTGGAAAAAATTATAGAGCCCTACTCTTTACCTTTTATTTATTTTGTTAATTAACGATTCTAGAGAGATTAAACTACATGAGTGTATGCATTTAAATGTGCTCTTTTCAAATATGATATTAAAGAAATATAGAAATCTTTGTTTTTCTTACAAAAGACTTTTTATAAAAACTTGCCCGGGTTTTGTTGAAAAAAATTATAGAGCCACTTTAGCCTATTTAGCCAAATATTTTCGTTTCCACGTGATTTTATGCCTCGGCAGCATAAGATTGCTTTCTTCCGTCTATTTATGCAGGTTTTCTTCGCATATGATGAATGAAGTTAACTTATAACAGCGTCATACTTTCCTTTTTTTCCACCTAAATGTATGTAAAATGCGTCGTAAAAAGGTTACTTTAACTCAAAAAACCTATGTTTGTTCACTATTAAGTGCTGGATTTTCCCAAAGATATGTTGCTAAACACTAATTTTTTCCAGTACTGTATCTGATGTATGTTTTAGGGCTTTAGGTAAAACTCTCATAACTCTTGATAAGAACCTCATTTAGAGCTGGGAGATATCTCATTTTGGTCAAAAATGTTAGCTCTATGTTCTGGTATCATTAAAAATATTTTTAAAGTTATTTTTCTGTTGGAAAGTAAAAAGCGCTCGACAAGTCAGCTTTTCAAGATGTTCAGAAAACTTTTCTAAAAATCTGCATATCCCTTCAATGAAGACCAGATAACATTGGTTCTTAATAGTAAATACTGTGGGCTATTCGATGATGTATTTAGCTCAATATTGACTTTTTATAAAAAGTTAAATATTTCTAACGGAGAGCGGGGGCCTTAATAGACAAAAACTATCTGCATTTTTCGTGCTATATAAGACATTCTCTCAGTACATCTTGGTTTCACATGCTTTTAATCGTGCCAAAAGAGAAAATGAAAGAAGAAAAAAGAATTTCAGAAGAAATGTTGAAATTCAATAGAATCTGTCTAGCATGTTTTTTTGGATGCATCTCCAAAAATTGTACAATAGCATTCCGATACTGCTAAATAGAAGATTAGCATTTCTGAAATAAAGACAAGATGTTCCTAAATAATAACTAACACTATAGTAAGAAGCATTAGTTAACATTTCAGCGTGACCAGCTAACTCTACTACCGTAAAAGAATTCCGTAACGGTTTTTCATCATGTTGTTTTATTTCTAAATCGTAAACCAAATGACGCAAGCAGCTGCGATACATCTTAAATTGAAGAAAAAACTGCTATGAACACTTTAAAGCGCGTTTCAGTTTTGTAACATGTCTCATTTTAAAGATCCGATAGAAATATTGATAACTACTTTTCGTACATTTAAACTTTACAGGATGGAAACTTAGTTGTTGTATCAGATCTTTAAAACAAGACTTGTTACAGAACTGAAACTCACTTTAAAATGTTCATAGCAGTTTTTTTCTTCAATTTAAGATGTGTCGCAACTGTCTGTGTCGTTTGGTTTACGATTTATAAACAAAAGCAAATGATGAAAAAGCGTTACCGAATTCCTTTACACGCAGTGGTATCACAGTGGGCAATTTTGGCTAGAGCAGGCGGACATGTGCTATTAATTCAATAATAACTTTTGATAGAAAAGAGCTAGAGAGCTCCGATCTTCGCCATTCAAACCTAAGATCTTTGGACAACTAGGCCGTCTGTAAAAATTTTCCAGTAGGATTGTATTGCTTTTTTTCCATGGACTGATAGCCAGTGATGTTCTCTTCAAAATGGGACTAAAGTGAGACCTTGATTTTCCGTGGTTCGGGTGTTGTATCGAATTCTCTACGAGTCTCAGGACTGGCATCCAGTGACTATTGGTAGCCTTGAAGACGGATGGAATATGGGTAATCGACCATGCTGAGTCTTCTGGCAATAGAAAAGTTCTAAAAATCTACCGAAAAGCGATTTTTACCAAAATTTGCATTTTCAGGCTGTTTTCACCCAATATTAAAAAGTTCACCATGCACTCAATAAACATCAGAACGAGTTCAAAATTTCAGAATGTAGAGTATTTCAGGTATTCCATATCCTGTTTATAGGAGATTTCAAAAGAAATTTTATAAAACCTTAAGATTTTCCAAAAGGTTTTCTGGAAAACCCAATAATAAAAATATGCTTTTTCTGATTTTTCGACCATAAAATTACGTTTAGCGGAGGAAATCAACCGTATCCTGAAATTTTGAACTCGTTCTGATGTTTACTGAATGAATAGTGAAGTTTTTAATATTAGGTGAAAACAGCCTGAAAACTCCAATTTTCGTAAAACTCGCTTTTTAGAACTATTCTAAAAACAAATATTGCCACGAGGCTCAGCATGATCGATTACCTATATTCCATCCGTTTTCAAGGCTACCAATAGTCACCAGGTGCCAGTCCTGGAACTCCAAAAGCCATGATTTTTTGGAAAACCTCCATCACAATGCAGAATCATTGACGCTAATTGGCGCTATGGTCAATGGTAGAGCATACGTAGAAGAATACTTGACGAAAGGTTGAGCTCGATGGAACTTTAGCTATTTGTAGCGTTTACAAAATACGAAGCGGTGCATTTCCCGAAACATTTTTAGAATAGAAAATTTAAAAAGTTTTATGAAAGAATCAATGTTGTATATGATTCGATGCAGCTCGACGAGCTAATTCTGAATGTCACGTTGGTTTTGCGCTAAAATGTTATATTAGTCTCAAAAAAATGCATTTAGGGTCAAAATCCATGGTTTTTTGGAAAACCTCGAGCACAATCCAGAATCACTGGGAGTAATTGGCGCTATGGTCCATGGTAGAACACACATAGAGGAATATTTGGCGAAAGGTTGAGCTCGATTGGACTTTAGCTGTTTGTAGCGTTTACAAAATATAAAATGATGCATTTTTGATACTCGATTTTAGCCTAGTAGATTTTATTTTCTGTAGCAATTTGAGTTCAATCTAAACGATCTTTTCATTAAAATGGAGCTCATAGGTTAATAATTCTTTTCAGATAGTTTTTCAAATTAAACTATTCCAATAAGTTGGCCAAAAGTTAACTTTATCTGAGGAGAGCGATTTTTGAACAAATTTCTTAGTATGTGTTTTTCCAACGTTCAACTTAAGTTCTGAAAGTGCTATTTCAGGACAAGATAGATCAAAGACAGAAGTAATTATTCCAATGCTTAAACTTTGAAAAATAACACTTTCGTTTTATGTCCGCCTGGTTGCCCACTGTGGCGGTAGTAGAGTTAGCTGGCCCCGCTGATTCATTTTTCTTCTCACTTAATTTTGACTACATAGTGAGTTGAATAAACACTTCAAATAGATAACATCCATTCTTCTTTCGTTTCTCTAATTATGATTTTAACATACTCACACACAAAACTACAGCGTCATTCTTAATAACAAATAACCACACTGAAAGGTAGGTAATCTTCAGGTGACTGTTAATGAATAAAAATATCATACTATTTCTACACAGTGTAACACGCCTTATATGACGGCACTCAGATCGTTCAGGAAAGCTTATTCCTTCGGACGAGTAAGGAATATAAAATAAATGGATACAGATTCGCGACCCAAATGTTTTCGTAATCTCCCACACGAGTTTACTTGCGTTTTGACCATATCTTGTGCACAACTTCTAACTCAAGCGTCAATTGGAAACGTCCTCGCACCATTGCATATCATTGGTCCAGCTATTGGTATAAATGATAGAAATCGATTACCATGGACGTGTGCAGCATATTCTCTAACTGTTGGTATTTTCATCTTAATCACTGGTCGATTGGGTGATATTTTTGGCCATAAACTATTATTTATCCTTGGATTTATATGGTATGGTATATTCAGCCTGTTAACAGGAATGGCAGCATATATTCGTAATGATATATATTTTGATATAATACGGGCATTCCAAGGTATAGGTCCCGCAACAGTTTTACCCAATGGAATTGCTCTTCTCGCTCGTGCATATCCAGCTGGAAGACGGAAGTCGTTGGTATTTGCATTTTTCGGTGCGACGGCACCAGTGGGATGGAGTATGGGAGCTGTTTTTGCAAGTATTTTTGCTCAGTTTGTTTGGTGGGCATGGAGTCAATGGGTTTTAGCAGGTGCTTGTATAATTCTGGCTATATTAGCATATTTTATTATTCCTACAGAACTTTCACCGGCTGTTCAACCAATGGGTAAAATTGATATACCGGGCGCAGTTACAGGTATCACAGGTCTTGTTCTGATCGTTTACGCTTGCAATCAAGGACCAGTTTCAGGCTGGGACAAACTATACGTACATCTTCCGCTTGCTCTTGGATTTATTATTCTTGGTTTATTCATATTGATTGAGATTAAAACAGACGAACCTATTATGCCACCATCTCTTTGGACAGCTCCAGGTTTCCCTGGCGTAATTGTTTGTGTAGGTCTAGGATGGTCTAGTTTCGGCATCTGGAATTATTATTTTGTTCAATTTGTTGAAGTTGTACGACAGAAGACGCCATTGTTATTGTGTGCCATGTTTTCACCAACAGTGCCTGCTGGTTTTGTTGCAACTATTCTTGTCTCTCAACTTTACCATCGAGTAGCTGGTCATTATCTTTTAATGATATCGATGGTTGCTTTTTGTACTGGAAATGCACTGATCGCTACAGCTCCCGTTGATCAAACTTATTGGTTACAAACTTTTGTGGCTACACTTATAACACCATTTGGTATGGATATTAGTTTCCCTGCTGCGTCGCTCATCGTGAGCAATTCTATGCCTATTCATCAGCAAGGTGTAGCTGCAAGTATGATTAACACTGTTATCAATCTATCCGTATCACTCGGACTCGGAATAGCAGGAACAGTGGAAAGCCAAATAAACAAAAACGGTGACAATGTGTTGAAAGGATATAGAGGCGCGTTATATGCTGGTATTTGTCTCAGTGGTGTGGGTATCATTGTTGCTTTGCTTTTTTGTCGAGTGCCTAAGCCGGCAGTATCCATGGAAAAGAGTATTGCAGACGAAGAACAGCAAGTAGGTCAGGTTAACGGACCTGGAACAGAAGGTGAAGGACTAGAAGGTGAATTATCGAAATAGTAACTGGATATTAATGTAGTCAAAGTTAAGTGAGACGACAAAAGGAATGTTAACTAATGCTTCTTACTATAGTGTTAGTTATTATTTAGAAACATCTTGTCTTTATTTAAGACATACTAATCTTCTATTTAGCAGTATCGGAAAAAAACATGCCTGACAGATTCTGTTGAATTTTAACATTTCTTCAACATTCCTCCTGTTTCATCAAAGTGTTTAGTTGATGAAATATGAAATAAAATCCATTTGTTGAGATAAAGTTGAAGCCGCCCAAACCAAAATATTTGTTTTCGTAAATCAAGTGTATAACGCAAAAAAGAGTGCAAAAAAATAAGTGGGGGAACGCGAAAAATTGTTGTAATTCTGTATATTCTTCTTGAACAAAATATTCGCAAAATTTTGTATTAGTCACAGACGACGGAACAAAATCTGGTAAATGAAATAAACAAAAGACTGCTTGGACTCATTGCGATGTTAACGTCGTTTTCTCTCATCCAAAAAGCTTTTTTAGCTATCTAAGTAAAAAAAACGTTGTTACTTTTTGGTTATTTGTACGTATTCTAAACGGTACCACCTGTTTTTTAAAGTCGAAAAAGTGAATAGAACTTTTGCCATTTTTGCAACAACACACTAAATATTTACAAAATTTTGTATTAGTTGAGTAATAGAAAGTTTTGTGAATATTTTGTTCTAGAAGAATATACAGAATTTCGTATTTGTAATCATTTTTTGTGCGACTACGCCAACAAACTTTTGCAATTCCTACATAGGTCCAGAATGTCCTCTTCAAAATGGGAACTGTCGGCCTTCTTCAAACCTCATTGTTTGAAGGAGACTTCTGGGTTGAAAGTAGATGCTTTTTGTAATCTTAAAAATAAACCGAAACATCGGTTATTGACCACACTGAGTCGCGTGGCAATGTTTATTTTGTGATTTGGAAACTTTCATGCGCAGCAACAAACCAAAGCGATATTCTCCCGTATATGAAAACACTACAGCTAAGCACTGTGTAACTTTATTCTGAAGCCACTACAAAGAGAATAATGTTAATATAAGATAAACAACGCGTCTTTTGTTTTCGTACTAATTTTATTTAGAAAGAAATTTAATTTTGATTTTTAAAGTCGACTTTTTCCTTTACTGACAAAATTTTGTTTTAGCGCTACTAGTCACGGCAATCAAAGAAAAACTAAAATGTGAATTTTTAGTTTTCGGAAAAAATTGATACAAAAGGGTACAATTGGGTTGCGTTCGTCCCACTTGTGCGTAATTATTCGTGATGGTGAGGGCAAAGATTCTTGATTATAATTTCATATTACGTTTTATTATTTTCTTTTCTATCTCTCATACTACTTACTCATACGTTAATTTATGATTGAATATTGAATCAGAATAGAAGAAAACTTTTACAGCTTCTTCGAAGAATTTTTCTTTGGGTTATTGGGTTCCACAATATACTTGGATTCCAACTTTTTAACCTTAATATCATTTACCTTCATAAGAACGTGAGGAAGCATATCCCAATCGAGGTTAAGCATACACCGATTAATAATCGATATTGGGGCATTCAACAAAGTCGTTTCGAATCAGTTATAGAAAAGCAGTTAGAGCTGTCGAATGTCTCATTTTGCAGGAAAATATTTGCTCTGCCAAACTGAAGTACAAAAGGGCATTTTAGTGTTATCTGCGGCAGAAATACAAGCATCCGAAACTGAGCAAAATTACAAAAAGATAAGCGATTAGCGATTATTTTTCTACTATTTTAGTGC